CCGTGGGCGCCCGATTTCTTTCCGCGTCTCTCGGTGCTGCCTGGGCCTGTCCGGGGTAGCTGGTGATTAGAAAACCGGGGTTAACGTAGCTTCCGTAGCCACGCGCACTCAGGACCACTGCGATCTAGACCTCCATCACGACACGCCCACGAACGAGGCCCCACGGCCTGCCCACACCTGACTCGCGTGCAGCTACCGCTCGCATCCCCCAGACCATTTCTCCACGGAGCAGCTCGCCCGGAGCACGGATGGAGCTGATGCTGTGGCTCCCACCGTAAGGGGATCCATCACGGGCCACGATGATGGACGGTGCAGCGCATCTGATGTACACGTTTTCCAGGCCTTCGATGAGGTGGGGGGGCACCAGGCCTGGCTCTGTCCCTCAGTGGCCGCTCTGTCCCGGACAAGCCACTGTCCCCGCTGTCCTTGCATCCTCAGCTACACACGGAAGAGGCTGCGGCGTCGGGGTCCTGCCGCCATCGGGACATGGGACACGCCTGTGGCTAGCGTGCACCTGGGAAGCCAAAGTCCCCACAGGCAGGTGCAAAGCCACCACCTGCAGGTCGTGAGCCGGTGGGAAACGAGGGATAAGAGTTCCGGTTACACGTGTGATGCCTGAATGCCGACTGACAGGTCACCATGTGGAAGGCCGAATGAAGCGACATATTTACCCCAAACACACGAGCAGCTTCTCTGTGTGTCGTCCGTCAGGTACACAGGAGGGGAGGCCCAGCCTCCCAGCTGGCTCCAGCTTCAACGCTCCAGTCATTTCCCCGAGAAGACCAGGCTGTGGACGGTCCTGGCAGCAGGTGAGCCTCACGCCTTTGGCAGGACCCACGTCTCCCTTCGGATGGGTTTCACCGGGCGGCTCCCGGGCAGGCGTCTCGGCAGCGGCACCGGGTAGCGCTGGGGCTCCACATCCGGCCAACGGGTTTCGGCATAAAGCAGAGAAACGTGAGGCCGGCAGGGCTGTTTGCAGGAAACGGCCACCTGCCTCCTGAAGGTTTTAAAATAATGAAACCACCCCCCAGTGGACTCTTCAGCGTCCCAGGAACCTCTGCTCCAGTCGCACCTTCCTGCAAAATAACATCGAGTTTGCTTGCCGTGGCTTGTGGGGACGACGGGGCCGCTGGCAATGAAAGTCGTAACCACAGGGAGCGTACTGTGTTGGCACCTCCGCCAGCCCCTGCGTCCTTTACTTCTGAAAGTCGCCTCAGCCGAGAGAGGTTGTCCAGGAGTCGCTTGGCCATGAACGCAGGCCCGCGGGGAGCATGCCTCCTGCCGATGGCAAGGAGATTCCTCTGTGGGTCTCAGTGTGCGGCCAACACTCTCTGCTCACGTAGCTCGAAGGAGAAGTAGGTGAGCCGCCATTTGGCTTTCAGGCAAGTTTAAATGGAAGGCTGAAGGCCACACTGTGTGGTGGATACAGTGGGGGCTTCAGAAGGAAGGTTGGTGTCCATCTCAATGTATACGCTTCAGTGGCCAAACTCGGGGAGAAAGGAGAAATTCACGCCTAAGGATCATTCAGTTCAAAGCCACTTGGAATCTGAATATTGCAAACTTGACTAATTGCAGAAAGCTGGTGCCGGAGGACAAAACAATTTAGCAAGGCGAATGGGAACTCCTGTCTTCTCAGAATGACCCAGATTTATCTTTATTCACATCTCATTCTACAGATCCAATCAGACGTATAAACCAGGTAGCGCACATGCGTTCCTCGCTGTCTTTCCATTTCCCTGTCCAAGGACATCTCGGTTCCTTGCGTTCTCTAGTGACTAGGGGGTACGCTGCAGTGGACTTCCGCACACAGCTTTTTACGTGGACATCAGTTCTCAATTCACGTGGGCGGGTACCCAAGAGTATAGTTGCTGGGTTGCAGGATGAGGTTGTGCTTAATTTCATGAGGAATTGCCAAACCGTCCTCCAAAGCGCTGTGCTGTTCTGCACTGCCACCAGCAGGAAGGGGGACTCGCTGTGGTCCTGCTGGCGTCTGTTATCGTCTGTTACCGTCAGTTTATAAAACGTTATCCTTTCGAATAGGTATGTGGCTGAATTGCACTGCAGTTTTAACGTGTTTCCCTCATGGCCAGTGATATTGAGTATTCAAGGGCTCATTTGCCACCTACATATCTTCTTTAGTGAAGTGTCTATTAATTCTTTTAGCACTTTAAAAATGTTTTGTCACTTTCTTCTGATCTCAGTGTGAAGAGAAATCCACAGTAATTCAAATCATTGTTCCCCTCTAAGTAATGCATCTTTTTTTTTTTTTCCTGCATGCTTTCAACATTCCTTGGCTTCCAGTTTGATTATGAACTGCTTGGGTGTGGATTCATTGGATATCTTGTTGGACATTTTCTCAGCTCCTTGAATCTATAGGTTCATGTCTTTCATCACACTTGGACCAGTGTTAGCTATGATTTCCTCCAATACCTTTTCATCCATTTATGCGGTTCTCTCATTCTAGGGCTCCAGTGACACAAACCTTTCGTTATTGTCCTACAGGTCCCTGAGGCTCTGTCCTTTGTGTTTTTTTTTTCTTTTTTCTTTTTAAATTGCTTAAAGTATTACAAAGGGTATTACATATGTGTCCTTTTTTTTCCCCCTGCCCTTGACAATCCCCTGGCCTCCCCTACCCCCCTGTCCTTTGTGTTTTCAACATTTTTTCCTCTGTTGCTCAGATTGGATCGTTTCTATTGATCTGTCTTCAAGTTCGCTGCCTCTTTCCATTCTGCTGATGAGTCTATTCAGTGTGGCTTTTTATTTATTTTTTGTTAATATATATTTTTTGGTTCTCTTTTATATTTTCTAATTTTTATAGTCTATTTTATTTTAATACTTTATTCTGTTTTCATACTGTTCTATTCCATTTTAATATTTGTTTCAAGAGTGTTATAGTCTATTTTAATACTTATTTCAAGTGTTACTGTTTTAGCCTTTTTATAATGCTTTAAAGTCTTTGTCAGATACTTCCAACATCTGTGTCATTTTCTTACGTATTGTCTTGTCTCATGTGAGTTGAGACTTCTGTGGTTGTTTGGATGCCCACCTTTTGGATTTTATCCTGTTTTAAATATTACATTATAAGGCGCTATGTCTTGTCGAAACCCTACAGAGAATATTGATACTTTTATTTTAGTAAGCAGTTCTGTTGGGTAGGTTCAGGCTGCAGCTTGGAATTATAAGTTCAATATCAGATTCAAAGCACTTGCAGTGCTGTTGGGATCTCTCTTGTGTGTCCTCCAAGGGTCAGGCTGGGGTCTGGGCAGAGGTTTGTTAGCTCAGTTCTCAGAGTTTTGAGTGTGCTGTTTGGACCAGTTCCACGCAAGCACAAGTTAAGGGTGAGGCCAGGAACTCATAAATAAGTTAATGGGGTTGCTTTCTCGAGCTCTTCCCGGTTCCCTGGTCTCCCATTCTCCGTCTGGCCATACACCGCTGACTTGCACAATTGTGGTATCTGGGCCAAGCACTGGGAGGACAGAGAAGAGAGTTTTGGCTGCCACTGTGCCGCCCCCACCGTCGTTATTGCATCAGAGAGCTGAGGAGAAGGAAGGAAAATACCCGAGTTTCATCTCTTCTCTCTGAGCTTTGGGGTTTCCTCTCCCTTCCCCCAAGCCTGGCTTCTCCGGAGCTCTCTCCTCGCCCACAGTGCTCACTCCGGGGGTTGGATTGGTTGAGTCCTGCTGGCCTTCCTGGAAGGAGAGAAGGGGATCCAGTGTCCTTCCCCGCCTGCCTGTCGCTGTTTGCTTCTCACTGTTCTCCAGTAGCTGAGCTGCGTACTCTGTCCAGGTTTCATAGCTCCATTCGGAGGGAGAGCAGAGGAGCATGTCTTTTCTCTCTCAGCCAGAACTGGAGTCTCTGATATTGTTTACAATTTTTATTTTCTAATTAACTCATCTTTATATGCAGGACAACAGTTGGTGTTGTTCATAAGAGTCCCATTAAGTGGCCAAATCACATAATTTTCCATTAATTCTTTTGGCTTTGTTGATGCCTACATTTATGTCCATTTCACATGATGCTATTTTGGTCCCTTCCTTTGATTGCGTGATTCTCACTATATTTTCCATTTGCACCTTCTGACTAGCCTTGTGAGTAAATGTGGTCTTACCGTTTCTTTGCAACCTGTTGGGTGATTGTTTGGGAGCACACAGTCCCATGGGAGGGCTGGGCAGGGCAGTGGGTGTGGATGCAGCTCAGCGGACCTGCATGAGGCACATTTTGGGGAACCTCACCGAAGGGCCCGGCCGCCAGTGTAAGCCTGTGCTCACCTCAGGCAGAGCTGAACCACAGCAGGCATTCCCAAACGGCAGCCTCTGGAGCTCACCCAGTCGGGTGTGATTTCAGGGCATTTACATGCAGCTCTTTGAAGATGCAGGTCTTTGCAGCAAGCACACCCATCCCATACAGCTGAGCTGGCAGTGGGTGAGGCACACGTGGGGAGTGGGGTGGCGCAGGTGCAGAGTCCACCTGCAAGTTTAATGACCCCCGTGACTTTCCTGTCCCTGTGGCTAAGAAATTTCAGCCTCTTCTTAGAACTGGGCGACAGCAGTCCAGCCTGGGCTGCCACGGTCAAGGGGAAAGGACACTTGAGCAGGGGGTCACCTGAGGCCAGCCTGGGGCCAGTCTCCAAGGGGACGATAGGCTCCGGCTCCCTAGGTCCTGCCGTGGTGACCCCTGCGTCTCCCTGAGCCCCGGTGACCTCACCTGTAAAACACACCGCCGCTCACCGTGCAAGGCGAGGCCGTGGGAAAGAGGAGAACGGCAGAGCCTTCCGAAAGTCCGGTGCCACCTGAGGCAGCCCACGTGACCGGGCACATCCCCCGCCCGTGACTCCCCAAGGGCCACCACCGTCTGCCTCTGTCCCCATGGTCAGCAGCGTCCTGTGGGTGGGGCTGAGGCTTGCTCCCCAAGGCCACAGGTAGCCCGACACTCAGGGTGCCCACCCACTGGGCTGAGTCGGGGCTGGGCCCACCGACCACTGTCTTCTCCCGCCTTTGCAGGTCACCTCCAACGAGAAGCACCTGGAGAGCCTGAAGGGCGCGGGCAGCCTCCTGCGGGCGCTGGAGCGGCTGGCCCCGGCTGGCGGGTGAGTCGGCCCAGGAAGGGCCCGTGCAATCTATTGGGCTCAGCAAACACTGACACACTCTTTTTTCTCCGCCTGTCCCCCCACTCCCTCTACACACCAGGGACCACCGTCTTCCACTCGGTCATTGCCACTGAGGTCCCTCCCAGCGGGGGAAGCATGGTCACTGTGTCTCTATCCCCCTGGGGACCCCCCACTGTCCAAATGAGGGGTGTCAACAGGAAGAGGGATAAAAATCAGGATATCTTAGTGCCCCCAATATCACATCTATAGGGGATAGAGGTGAGGGGGGAGTGGACTATGACTAGCTGGGAGGGGACAACAGGTGGGAGATGTGATGAACCCCATAAGGTGGTCGGTAACCAGCCTGTGTACACGCACCCCCATGCCAGCCCGGGCCACAGGCGACATTACCGCCACCTGGCAGAGGGACTGGAGGTCAGGGAAGGGCTGGGGTCAGAACCGACAGCTCAGCCTGCCCGGCAGCACCAGGCTGCCCCACTTGGCCAGAAGGAAAACCTGGAATCTGTGCAGTGTCTAGAACATTCTAGAACTGAGGGGCAGACCAGGCAGCGCTGTCACCCTGGAGCGCCAGCCCCACCGTCATGCGGATGCTCAGTGGCGTGAGTGCTGCAGGGAGGGTTCGTTCTGCAATGACACGCATCCCCTGCACCCCTGCACTTGAGAGGTGGTGGCAGCTGGTGGGGGTAGAGCTTATACTGTTTATGTGAATGTTAGTGCCAAGTGACAAGGGGAAACACAGGGATAAAGAGTTGTCCCCAGGCCTCCGTGCTTCCTGCCAGCTGGCACTGTCTCACGGCTCACCGGTGTGGTGGCACCGAGCCTGGCAAGTGGTGGGGCTTGGGAGGTCTGAGGAGTGGTCAGTGAATGCAGTGACCCCTCCTCCCTCAGGCCACATCCCCGTGCGGAGGGAGGTAGCCAGAGGTGTGGGGGCCACAGTCCTGAGCCCCCGCTGCTGTCCGTCCCCACCCTGGGCAGAAGGCCGCCCCTCGAAGGCCTTCACTGCACATTTCCTGGTAGCTGTCAGCACCACAGGGTTCTGTGAAGTCTGTTTTCGGTGCTTTGGGATGGTATTAATTTGAAGAAATACATGTGATTGCCGAGGCGAGTCTGTGGTGGAGGCAGGGCTCCCTCCATCCTTTTCGTACTTAATCC